TCCCTGCCACCAAGGACTTTGTTGTTGGACCTCGACGGTGTGGAGACGTGGGAGACGTTGTAGGAGCTCCGAGGGAGGAGAGCTGCTGCCCTCCTGCCGCGCAGCCTCAAAGGGTTAACAGGTCCCGGGGGGAGCCTGGAGCGATGCTTCACACTCTCTGCCCAATCCTGGGAATCCCTCTCTGCTAATTAAGCACTGACCAGATCAAAGGCTCCAATCAGGCAATCAACACCCCCTGGCCCCTGTCTTCAGGTTGCCAGCCCAGGCCGCTCTTTGTCTGCAGGAAGGAGAGCGAAGCAATGCGGCCTCTCCCCGCGCGCGCCGGCGTCGGAGCCGGCCTTGCCTGCGCTCTCCTTAGCGCGGTTCTGGGGATGGAGCTAAGTCTGCAGGAAAGTTTGCTGTTAAAATCCTTGGGTTTGAGCACCAAGCCCAGCCCGAAAACCCCCGTTCCTGTGCCGTCGGTGCTCTGGAGGATCTTCCAGAGGAGAAGGATACTGCCTTCTACAAACAAAGACCTGGTGGATGCTTGTAGGGTGGAGGAATTTAACGTCCCTGGGAACATCATCCGTGTCTTTGCTGACCAAGGTACAGAAGCGCCGTGGTTTGGGTCCTGCCTTTTGGAAGCCCCTCTGATCTCTGGGCTGGGAGACTTCGCCCCAGTCCTTGCTTTTCCATCTCTCGTAGGTAGGAGAGGCTGGAGGAGGACAGGGCAGGGGCCGGAGTCGGGCTCCAGGAGAAATCGCTGCTCTGCAAACCCTGGTCCCTCTGGGTGTTGCAGATAATTATTTGCAGTTTAGAAATGAGTCGGTAGACAAGGCAGCGGGTGAGGGTGTGGAGCTGTGTAAGGCTCTGTCCCGGAGTCGCCTAATGCAGTCCGGAGATGCTGCTTGACCGCGGGGCTCGCCGTGGTGGTGACCCCTCGCCTGGGCAGCGGTCACGCCGCTGGGGCGCAGCGAGCGAGACCAGCACCCGGCTTTGGGTGGGGACGGGATGCTCGGCCATTTGGCTGCGTCCCCCCCTCCTCCTTTTTGTCCTCATGCCTCTGGCTGGCCACGCGGCACATCTGGCTGCCTCAGCCTGTGGCCTCTCCGAGCCGTTCTCCGTTCATCCATGGGAATTGCTGGGTCGCTGTCCCCTAGGTCTCAAGACGCCACGGAGCTCCCTTCTCTTGTGGTTCCGGGTTTCCAGTGGAAACCTAGGGCTGGCGAAAACAGGCAGCTTCCCAGCTCCTGAAGTTTGCTGCTGTTTGCCCTCTTTTCCCCTCTGTCCCAAACAGCCGGCACCCACACCACCTCCCCTGTCCTGGGGGGAGATATTTACAGCTGGGGAAAAATAATGCACCAGGATGTTAAGTAGCATCTAGAGGAGATGCTGGAGTGGCTGGAGCGTCCCGGTGCCGCAGGCTGGAGCCCAGGCTCGCATTTGCGCCTCCAAACCTTTCTGAAGGCCATGCCATCGGGCTGATAGCCCCTACTGCAGCCTTGTCGTCTCGCTCCAAGGACTGCGGGCGTGCGTGGCTGGCCGCCCCCCTACGCCCCCTCCCCCCCCTCCT